ATAATTAATATTAATTTCTAACCACAGCAAGTTGTCTACTTATAGCGAAATTAAAAGTCAACTTTGTAATGAGTGTAGTTAATTAAATATACGTTCTTACTTATAAAGTTCATAATGTATTAATTATACTTGTCATAAGTTACTAGCTTTAGGCCTAATACATTTTTAAACACTCCACTCTTTATTCGGTCGAAGAGTGTATTATTACGACAGCGGAAGTCACGTGACTCTGGTAACACGTCATGGGATTCTTGAAGGATCCTGACTTTTCCTGGCAACTAGTCTTTTCTAGGCGCCTTCTATTTTAGTATATAAGCCCGGCAAATAAAGCAGAGATATAATTGAGTCATATTTACGGTAGTGACCGTAAATAAGTGCGTGAATCGTTGTGAATTATAGCGTGTGTTAAAGTTAAAGTGACTATGGAAATTAAGCGTATTGCAAAGTTGTATTGAGAAAGAATAAACTAGTTTTATTTAAGAAAGGACTTGTATCGCTGAAGTTCTTCGGGAAGAATTTATACCGGAAATTAACAAACGACCAGACGTAACAGTATAATTGTATTTCAACTACACTATGCCCGTCATATTCGTTGCCGACTGACAACGAGTTTCGCTTAATACAGAGCTCATCAGTCCATTTAGGACACAATAGTGCTCTAAACATTATTATATAAACCACTTGTTACAACAACAATTGTTATGATGAAGTGTTTCTACTTTACTTTTCGATTTCATAGTGTGAAACTAATAAATTAAGCAAAGGTTTGAAAAGTCTGGAATCTTCAGCATTGATAGCGATTGCTTCAATTTTGCGTAAAGTAACTCAACGTTTTCAAGTAGACGGACTACTGTGTTTACGTGATTTTCTAAATTTATAGCTGTGAACCATGTTTAAGAGTGGCGTAGGAAGGACTTGCAAAGTGGGGGTGTGTCTGGTTAGAGATGCAGATTTTACAAAGAGAACTTGAAATTATAAATTATATTCTTCAAAACTTTTACCATTTGTAGTTTCTACATAACGTTCTGGTACAATTATGGCTTTGGCTTGTTTAAAATGTGTTTCTTATTAATACGCAATCTGATATCTATCTATCTAAACCTAAGCAATTTTAAACATTCTTTTTTTTTTTTTGCCAAGTAGTTTAAGCCCACGGGTCAAGAGTTTCTAAGTTAACTATAATTTATAAAAAATTTAATACCGGAAATAAATGAAGACAGATAACATGCAGATACAATGCATTCACGTTCATCTTATGTTACTCGAAAAGGACATCCGATATGAAAACTGGATACAACTACTCATCTCCAGAAGAAACGTGCATTTACGGGACCAATGAGACATACACGTGCACTATTTCCCACTATCCCCAAGGCTTACAGAGAAACGCACACCTTATGTTTGTTTGTTTTTTGACAATTACATGGCTCTCTGGAACGTCACAGTTATTTCACAATCAATTTCCCATCTCTGTACTACTGCATTCAGTTTCAGATCTGCTTGAATTAGTTTTTTATTCCGATATCACCATTTGGTCTTAATTAAATAAAACTAGAATGTTATCTAATGGCACAGTACACTGAATCGCGACTTAGCGAGTTCCTTGATAGTTAACCTTGCTAGTTTTCTACGTCATACAAAGTAGTAAGTAATTCCTTTTTCTCTACCTAAACATTTCTAAAGTTTTTTTTGCCGATAAAAGCATCATGTCCTCCACTAATATTTATTGCTTATTCACGTCTGCTTTCTGTTACAAGATAATTAACAAGTAGCCTACGCACATTTAAACTATACTATTTCTACCTCTGTCTGACATAATACCACCATTAAAACTTCTCTCGAGAAAAGTTTATATTCCTTCTATTCACAAAAAATTAACTGCAGTATACGAAACTGCGAAAATTAAACAACGTTTATTTAACCTGCACTTCCTTTTGCAACTTAAGTTTACACGTTGAAAATCCGCATGTGGCTCTCTTTCTCTGGATTTATATCTGTCAAAACATCAGTCACACTGCTCACGCTCAGCATCTGGTCTGGAGTTCTGTTGGTTCTCCGAGGTTCATTGTAATTATGAAATTAAACTTTTATAGAAAAATTACCGACTTAAGAATAATTAGAACGAAAAACTTTTGATCACAACATACACTTCGAATTGTTATGTTCTTAATTTATATGCAAACCACAACAACAACAAAATCATTTTCATTCTTAACAAATATCATTTATCCGTTCTCGTCACACGGGCTTAAAACAGACAGAAACCGAATAACAAAACAACGATAGTTCAGTATTAAAGTAGTAATTGCTTACTTGGTCCTGTTGAAGACGACGACTGACTGCCCAGTGATGGGCGGGCTAGTGCCTTGAAACTTCATTAGACCGTAAATTGCTTACGATGATTAAAGAGCCAGACATGGTAAGTGTAGAAACACAGATGACGAGCTTTATTTGAAGTTTTAACTTTATTTCTGATGTTAATAAGCAGCATCAAAATTGAACAATGAGCTAATAAAGCAGAGCCGAACGGCTTGCTTTAAAATAGTGACCGCCAACCGGTCTGTACGGCGGTTATCAACTGTCTGTATTAATGGCGAGAAACGGTTTGAATTCGCAAGTTCAGAAACTCCAAGTTGCAGAAAGAAAAAAACAAAAACGGAAACAAAGAAACTAAAAGAAATCAATGATAAGCAGGCAGCCTCCTCACACGAGGGCGTCACGACCTACAAGAACTTTTGAGCTTGCGCTGGTCGGGCCTCCTACACCCTTGAGCCGCACTAGTGGTTGCCATAGAAACCAGCTTATTCTCCGCGACGTGAAACTACAACACTACTAGATTATGTTTGTTTATTTTTACAAAACACATAATGTAATGGTACTCCTTATGCAACCAGTGCTTTGCACAAAGGAACGTAATGCAAGAACGCGCGGACACGTACGTGGCCTGTTTGTTATGCATTTATTCACCAGCCACTGCATCTTCACAGCTATAATTAAAACTTTCAATGATTTTGGTCGATTCTAAGCTTTAGAAAGTTTAGCCACGACTTAGAAACATTCATAATATAACAGGAACTCGTACAAACATTTTCACCGAGATCAGTGAAGCTACGGAGTACTTGCAAACTGACTTATAAGGAACCTCATTACCAGAATGTACTTGGTAAGGCCTCTTTCTGGACTTTATGTGATTGGTATTATCACAGTGGAAACATTTCTTCCAAACTACAAATGAACAGAAAGAAGTGCTGCCTATCACATTCTATTTCTAATTCATCAAAGAAACTCAACGGGTTACAAACTGTGTTTAAACTTATACACGAATATTCCCTCCCAACCCAATCCTGACATCTGGAAAGTGCCAGTGCTGACATCATTATAACAACAACAACAACATAAGCAGCGATATTAACCTTAATTTGAGTGGCTCATTTCTACGGATTCTGTGAGTGGGAGTGCAACACACCTCCATAGTGTAATGACTTCCTCTACATTTGTACACATGAATCCTTATTCATTCCCTTATCATTGTTAAGTGCTGACGTGTTTTTGATTAATATTTCCCTCTCTAAAGTTAATTTTCCTGTCTTTGTGACTTTCTTATTGCTATCTTGGTACCTCTTCTCCCTTCACCTTATGTTGGTAGTACTTTCCTTTTCCCCTCATGACTTTTCTTGGGAATTTAGATCTCTCCTTTCTTGCTTCCATGGTCCATTCTACCATTTCTCTTCTTCTTTAATTTTTCTGTTGTTGGGAGTCAGAAAGCCTTTAGTCAACAAAGTTTGGGAACACAGTCTTCTCTTCAAGGACACCTTCTAAACTTTATTTACATCCCAGTCTCTCACACATGTGTACATAATGTTATTTCTATATTTTTTTACAAAACTGAAACATGAATTTATAGCTTAGTGAAATTAAGTATAATTTTTACCTACTTTTTGGTGAGATCACGTTCTTATATAGTCTTTGAAAATAACAACAAAATTTTCATTCTTAATATAGTTAAACAAGTAACAATTCTTCAACTTAATACATGTTTATTATTTCAGAAAGAAACCTTAAGATTCATTTAGTCTTCTGTAAATACAGTGCATCCCAAAGTTGTTAACTACTGAAGTCCAAGTAGGGTTACATATTGCAGGGTTACATAGATTTATTCTGATGTAATAACTGCAAACCAGATTCAATAATTCAAGCTCCATATGACACATTCATCTCTCTTGATGCATCTTGAGTGACACCAAATTCAGATAGGTACATTCTATCTGATTGCATTTTTGGTAACAAGTTCAATTCTACCTCTATGAAAGATCCAGAATTCTTAACAAATTTTGGATAGTTCACTCTCACCAACCACATTTTGGTAACTTACTCATTTTTTAAATCAGTATCACCTAAAATTAATTTTTCTTCTTCTAAGAACATGCTGTGTGCATTTTTTTTTTTATGGATTTTGAAAATAATCTTTGTTAATGCATTCTTGCACTTGGTTTAGTCTTTCACAACGCATAATACCAATAGGGTCAATTGAATCCTGACAACTGACTCAAACTTTTTATTATAACTTACAACAGATCCATTTTTTCCTAATGCATATGTCATATATATATATATATATATATATATTCATGCAAGCCTTAGTCTTAACTTCTAGTTTTACTGTAAACATACCGTCTGTTAACTGTATCTTGTGCTCATTTTTTTTGCTAAAGATTAATACTGTTTTTGTATTAAGTCATGTTCATTGCTACAAAGACAAGTCCCAGATTTTTAGCAAGAGAAGAAAAAACAATATGTACATTTTTTAAAATTGTAGTTTTAAAATTTAAATAATACGAGCAGTTTAACAAAGAATAAATCCTATGGGATTAGTTTAAGGAAAATGAGTTTAAGTCCAATAGGTGGTCTTAAGTTTCTATTCTTAGTGGTTAAAACTTCAAAGACAATAATCTAAAAGTCCAGGCAACAGTTACACGGAGCCAAGATAAAAATTATCTTACCTCAACTCTTTCAATAGCTGTTTCAACTCCTTGTTCATCAATAATGTCCACAACTTGAGCTCTTAAACTCAAATCCTGTGTTGTTAACCAGTCTTGAAGATGCCTTGCTAAGCTATCCAAGTCTCGTTGAAATCCTGTTGAGAACGATTCTCCTTGACGCCCTTCAAAATAAAAGGAGACATTACATTTACCATATATATCAAGGTTACTATGGAAACATGCCTACACACTAAGTTGGAAGAAATATTCATTCAAAACATGAAACATTTTTTTTAAAATAACAAAAATGTAAAAATAAAAGAATAAAAAAACAGCTGATGTCCAGACTTGAATAGAAAGTGAAAGGATTTTCTAAGAAAAGATTGAAAAACACAGGCAATCACATAGTGAAGTTGATATCTAGATATGACATGCATGATAGAATGAAACTGTCAGGGAAAAATGTGCTAAAAATGGGAAAACAGACACTAAGTAAACAATCAGAAATAAAAAATAATCTTGTTTGTTTCTTGAGAAGAAATTAGAAAGTGAAAAAATGTGCTTGTTTATAATTAAGCACAAAGCTACACAATGGGCTATCTGTGATCTGCCCACCACGGGTATCAGAACCTGGATTCTAGCGTTGTAAGTTCCCAGACATACCGTTGTGCCACTGGGGGGCATTTTAAGTGTAAGTGACAAGTGCCATTGATTAGTACTCGTGTGACTATTATGAGTAAAAACAAATAGATAAGCATTTTTTTTAGGCCATGAAAAACAAAATTAAAAACTAGTAGGTACATGTTAATAATGAAGTACAAGTAAACTTAAACACATTAACCAACAGTGTAGATATAAACTACATTTTTTGGTATGTAACTCCAGTCCACTGCAATTTCACATGCTTAAGGCTCATCAGCAAACCTTGGGTCATTAAATCAAAAAATACATTAAGCCTTTTCTAAAGGAGATTTGTATATAACATCTGAGATTTTTGAGTCCTTTGTAACTCACCATATAGTAACCTAAATTAATTTGAATGCTTGAATAATATAACATCATGCCTAATTTTTTTTTTTTTTTTTATACACACACACACCTTCTGCTGTAGACTACAGTTTTACATATTTAGGCTTCATCTCTACAGCTTGGGTCAGCATACCAAAGAAATACAGAAATAATGGTGACATTTATCTAATATTTATGTGTTTTTTTTAAGTCCTCTTTAATTTAACATATCTTTTAACCAAATTAATGTACGTGTGCTAGTAATATTATGACGTTGCACCTAATTGATTTTTTTGATATTACACCTGAATCAACATTTGAATGATTCTATATATGTATGTTACAGATTTCTTTTTCACTACTGGTACTATCACTTGTATCCCCATGTATCTGATTATATTTTCAGTTTTATCTTTGGGGAAAAGTAAAGAAATTAGCAATATTTTAATTTATTCACACAACTAAATTAATTACGGTTTATACATGGTGAGATAAAAGGGAGTCAAAAACCCCACAAATATTATATACTCATCTGCCTTACAAGAGGCCTAACTGTATTTCTTTAGTTGGATGACACAACTTGTATATGACTCAGGCATTACTTGAATGGCTGAAACATCAGCTGTGGACTGTAGTTTCGCCTACTTAACACGTCACATGGACTCATGAAACAGACAGGACAATCGGGAGCACTAACATCTCAGACAGACGCGTGAAACAGACAGGACAATCGGGAGCACTAACATCTCAGACAGACACGTGAAACAGACAGGACAATCAGGAGCACTAACATCTCAGACAGACACGTGAAACAGACAGGACAATCAGGAGCACTAACATCTAATGCAGACAGTACAATCAGGAGCACTAACATCTCAGACAGACAGGACAAACAGGAGCACTAACATCTCAGACAGACATGTGAAACAGACAGGACAATAGGAGCACTAACATCTCAGACAGACATGTGAAACAGACAGGACATTCAGGAGCACTAACATCTCAGACAGACATGTAAAACAGATAGGACATACAGGAGTACCAACATCTCACATAGATGCACAAAACATTAGGGAGGATTATCACGAGCACTTTAATACTTCATACAGACCCATAAAACATTAGGGAGGATTATCACGAGCACTTTAATACTTCATACAGACCCATAAAACATTAGGAAGGATTATCACGAGCACTTTAATACTTCATACAGACCCATAAAACATTAGGAAGGATTATCACAAGCACTTTAACACTTCATACAGACCCATAAAACATTAGGGAGGATAATAATGAGCACAAACATCTCACACATACACATGAAGCATCAGGAAGGACAACCATACAAACTGATAAATAAGTAATGAAATTAGAACTTTATAGACTTTTAAGCACTACTAAGTAAAAAATGTTTTACGTGTGAACAATTTCAGCTACAGATACGTAAAAAATGTTTTACGTGTGAACAATTTCAGCTACAGATACGTAAAAAATGTTTTACGTGTGAACAATTTCAGCTACAAATAAGTAAAAAATGTTTTACGTGTGAACAATTTCAGCTACAAATAATTAAAAATGTTTTATGTGTGAACAATTTCAGCTACAAACAAGTAAAAAAATGTTTTATGTGTGAACAATTTCAGCTACAAATAAGTAAGAAATGCTTCTTACAACTATACACCTGGAAAAAAGTTAAGCACCCCCAAATATTTTTTCAGGATTGCTTATTGAAAATAAGGTTTAATTTTCATGATGTTGAGCAATGTTCATAATTTCAACATAATTAAAAGGGATGTAAGCA